AAACAAACTGCAATTCTGATTTTGATTAAACACTGTAAAAGTGACTGTGATGTGAAAATATCAGATGTATTAAAGTTTGTTCTAATCGATGACTGTGGTGTTTATGTTTCAACGGGTTTATAACAACCACAGGAAGAGTATTTTTAAATATTATTGTCAATTTAATATATTATTTCTGTTTGTCTTTTTCACGACATGACATGGAAGTGAAGTTGCATGAAGTTCCTTCGATTAAAGGTTTTTACAGTACTTTGCTACAGGTATTGAAAAGTTCACAGCGTGAATCATGTTATTTTCTCAAAGGGGTCATATGATGCTGCTAAAAATAACATTATTTTGTGTATTTGGTGTAATGAAATGTGTTTATGCGGTTTAAAGTTAAAAAAACACATTATTTTCCACATACTGTACATTATTGTTTCTCCTCTATGCCCCGCCTTTTTGAAACGCGTCGATTTTTACAAAGCTCATCGGTCTGAAAAAGCAAGGTGTGCTGTGATTGGCCAGCAACGGTCCTCCATAAAATGTGCTGCACACATCTGAATATTTGGGTTGAAGTGTTCTGGTACAGTGTTGTAAATACAACTTAACCACTGATTTCTAGTCGTGTCCTCTTTTAGGGGGGCGTGGCAGAGTCTTAACTTTGATAAAGAATATCTCTTTGGTTTTGAGACTTTAGTCTTTGCAACTTTACAGATCTTCTTTATGCACCAAGAGCTTGTAACACTCCAAAGAGAAAGGAAAAATTGAAATCGCATCATATGACCCCTTTAACTTTTATAAAGAATGTCTCTTTGGATTTGAGACTTTAGTCTCTGCAACTTTACAGATCTTCTTTATGCACCAAGAGCTTGTAACACTCCAAAGAGAAACGAAAAATTGAAATCGCGTCTTATGACCCCTTTAAGTAGCTCAGTTTACAACAAATTAGGGTGTATTCAAAGCTCATGCACTAGGTTGTGCTAATGCACCATTGAGGTTTGATATCGCTGAATAGAACAGACTGATTACCTCTATTTATGTAGTTCTAATTTAAAATAATTGACATTGATTTGTCCATACACAAGATGAGAGACCCTGAGCCTTGAATTCAAGATTTAAAAGGGCTTTATGCACAAAAGAGACCTGGTGAGATCTGAAAGGGTCACTTCAGACAAGAATGTGGTTGTTGCTGGTCAAAAATATTATCTCAAGATGCATTTAAAAATGTTTGTAGCTATTTCATTGCATTTTGTTTTTCATTAATGCAATGGCATACAGACACACAGATAGATAGATAGATAGATAGATAGATAACATACACAATATATACTGTTAGATATAGATAAATAGATAGATTTTTTTTTAATCTCCATCCAACTATGTTTTGGGATTGGATCAAAGTCTAACGTGTATTTTGAACTATCTCTACCAGAAGATGGCAGACTTTTCCTTGCTAATGAGATGAATGTAAAGAGATGTGCAGCCGCAGCGACTAATGCAGTTCCTCCCTGTTGAAACGCATCCAAGTATTTTGACTAATGGAGTCTTTGTCATCATCATCACACTCAAGCAGCTCGCTTCGCGCCAAAACAGATCCGACACTGCCCTGAATGCTGAGGTACACAGACGTCAAAGGGCATACCAAGATTTGACGGCAGTGAGCTTGTAGTCAGTCATGACAGTTTTCGCCTTTAAGCGAGCGTTGTCCCAGATATGTGTCTGTACCTGTGTACCCTGCATTTCTGAAAATGACTAAACACAGCCGCTTTCCCTGCTAAAAAGCACAGATAGCCTACCACTGGGCCGTGCTTCATTCACATAATGGGTTCCAGAGTGAATACCAATAAATCACAATTTCTTAAGAAAAAGACAGATCATGGTTCTTCATTGGAATCTATAAATAAACTCTAACTTCAATAGAACCTTTTTAATGCACAAAATGTTCTTTAGATTTTTAAGAGGTTCTTTTAAAGACCCAGTGTGGTGAAAATCAAGCTTTTAACATTGTTTGCATGTTTATCTGGTGGTTTCAGTATAGATGCTTAAAGACAAACCACATGCAAATTCATCAGTCAACACCACTGTTGAGCATTTTCTCCATAAAACTGCAGTCTCAAAAATGCGGAACCAATTCTGACAGCTTTCATTTTGGGGCTTTTCATATAATTAGCAAACAGTTTCTACCGGAGTATGTTGATTTTTACAAGCTATGTTTCTGGAATGGCAAACGGGAACCTGGTTTGCGAACCAGTATGTTCTATATTATGAATGTGTGTAGTATAAATGTAATCTGGACGTACTACATTCGCCATGATTTCATTGTGACGTGACCTGCAGTGTCGCTTCACTGCCATTCACAAATCCTCTCCTGTTACCTCATGGGATAGTGAAGTGCCTACTCTTTTATGAGTACTGTGAATTCGGACATACTTCTTTTGTCACATAGGCTACTCTGTTTTCACCTACTATATAGTACTCTTTTTCACCTACTAGATATGTAGTAGGCAAGTATGCGATTTTGGATGCAGCCCAACTCTGAACACCTAGCAATAAAAAAAGCACAATGCCTTAGCACTGACAATATAGGCAAGCAACAGCCATATTGTTTTACAGAAAATGTAAAAGTTCACTGTCTAACTGTTATTTTGAGATAATGTATGCTCTGCACATCACCCTAAATCCTGGACAGGAACATGAAGGGAGGGTGAAATTGTCATATAGCTTTAGAAAGGAACTGCTATAACTGTTGCCAAGCCATATAAAGCCACAGAAAAGGAAGAGGACATGGTGGAGGAAGAAGCGGAAAATATACAAAGAAAAATTAGAGAAAAAAAGTGCAGAATGTCAAAGGCAAACATACTGTATAGCTGTTCAAAAGTTTGGGGTTAGTAAGATTTTTTTTATGTTTTTGAAAGTCTTCACCAATGCTCATCAAGGCTGCATTTAAAAATACAGTAAAATAGTAAAATGTTATTACAATTTAAAAGAATGCATTTCTATATGAATATACTTTAAAACTTAATTTATTCCTGTGATGCAAAGCTGAATTTTCAGCATCATTACTCCAGTCTTCAGTGTCACATGATCCTTCAGAAACTTCACTCACCGGCAGAAACAAAAATTGGCGCCTACGCCCGTGTGCACTGTTTGAAATTGTGTAAATAGCACAAATAAATAAATAGAACAAAGATAGAAATTGGAAGTTTTTTTCAAGTTTGTAGGCCTAGGTGTCCAGGTACAGAAACCCAATCATCAAATGTAAAATATCATTGCATAGTCTTCACTGTATAATTTTAAATATAGATTAATTCTTGTTAAAACTACAAATTAATTCAGTAAAGAGCAGTGAGTGATTTTCTCTATTTAAATTTTTTGGATTAATATTAAGGACACCGACAGCAGCTATATATGTAACATTTGGTAACACTTTATTTTAAGGTGTCTTTGTTACACGTTATATGTACTTACTTTTATAATAACAATTAATTATGCACAATTACATGCAAGTAACCCTAAGCCAAACCCTAATCCCAAACCTAACTATATAGTAAGTACATGTAGTTAATTAATATTACCCGGTACTTAAATATATAATTACACTGTAACAAGGACACCTTAAAATAAAGTGTAACTTAACATTTAAAGGCACTATAAAATAAAGATCATTATTATTATTACTATACCAGTGGTTCTTAGTTTGGTTTTACACTGTACATCAAGTGGACACAGTACATTGTTAATTGTATACTTGTAAACAAAAATCAAACCTTTAAACTTATGAATATCACCATAAACTGCATAAGTCTAATAATATGCATCATTGTTAATATGACATAGGCTGAATTTGAAAACTAACCATTGTAAATGCAGAAATAACAGCAGAAGTGTGATTTACCACATGAACATACAAGGAAAAACATCAATGAGATTCAGTATAAGTATAAGGACAGCTGCATGGCTTCATTTTACTCAGTGTCTTACATCTAGTCAGCGGTTTTTGATTATAAGTGTATAGTTTAGAGTTTGCTTGAATCAGTTTTATATCTTTGACCTGCTTTCACTGTGAAAAACATCTGAGACCTTGTTGTTTTATAAAGGACACACTCAAATATACTTTTGCGAGAGGCTGGTAGCTGGTATGCATTCACACACGCACGCACGCACGCACACACACACACACACACACACACCTCTCAGACAGAGAGACTGTGTGATACCTCTGCCTTTATATAGCATTGAAAGGGCCTGCTGTGTGATCTCACTGACCTCTGCCATCTGTCTCTATGGAGATGAGGAGAAATGGAGCCGGCCAGAGCTGCTGCGTAACACGTCCACATATAACCACTGAAGACATCTACACTGCATGCAGCCCAACCCACCAACACTACAAAAACACGCACATAAAAGTGTTATCTGAAGGTACTGTGTAGGTTTTTGCAGAAATATTCAACATGTTCTGAGAGCTGCATTAAAAAAAAACATTTTAGGAACAAAAATTCGTCATACTTTTTCCATTGTATAATGTGCGTGGTACAGGGTTATTATCACTAAATAAAACTAAAACCATAAAATAATTAAAAACGTCAAACAAAAGAAACGTTAACTGAAATAAAATACAATCTTAAAAAAATATAAATAAATAAACCTAATTTATTTCAGCTATAGTTGGCAAGGCAATATTTCTCATTTTCATTTTGCACATTTAACAAAGTACT